TTTTTTTAATCCTTAACACCCCCTGGCTGGGCCGGCCCGCCCCAGCACGCCAAGGAGCAGGGTGCCAGGGGCAATAGCATGGGCAGCGAGCCACGGTGGAGAGCCGGCAAGCAAGCGCCCGACGCCCCAGCGAACAAACCCTGGGGCCAGCTCAGCCACATGAAAGCAGCCGGCAGGGCAGGAGGCAGAAACAGGCTTCCCAAGCGAGGCCAGCGCTGCTCCTCTGTGCACGGCCATTTTGCTGAACATGGCTGTTCACCGAGAGCAGCTGTTCCCTCCCGAACACCAGTGCCCCCCCAAGCCAAGCCCAGCCATCCCCAATGACCCACAGCTTGCCGTCTGCCGGGACAGGGACAGACCCACTTGCTGGTCCACATGCTCCGGACACAGGTGCATCAGATCAGGCTCATGTCTCTCGCTGCTGCAAGAAGTGTTAAGCTCCCACTCCTACCCCCCAAATATCTTTTGGGGCTCCAGCAGCCTGGGCTGGTGCAAGGAGCTTCCCAGGCACCAAACCACAGCCTGAGGCAAACCTGCACTAGGTGCTCAGACCACCCCAGCGACCCTGCAAGGTCTCAGCAGGGTTATTGCCAACGGGTGTCGTTACGATCAGCCCCATCCTTGGTGAAGTTATCGCTTGTGTCCCAACACACCAACAGCAGTAGGCTGGGCATGGCCAAGATGTGCACCTAGAAAAAGGGCATTTGGGATCTTCCATTCCCAAGGCTTCACCCCAGGAAGCAGCGACCAGAGGAGCCATGGGGTCACACCAGCAAAACACATCCCATCGAGCCCATGGGCCACATCCACAAGCTCTGTTGCTGCAATGCCAGACACGGGTATAAGGCTGATCACGCCCATGGGCACCACACCAGCTTGAGCACCTGCTGACATGAAAGGGGTCTGAAAAAACCCAAAGCAGACCTCTTTCCTACACCCAGCAAGGACTGGAGGGCTGCAAAACCCTACAGTGGGATATTTAAAGAGCACAAAAGCAGAAGGAGGGGCGAGTGGTGAGCTGGCTGTGGCACCAAAGCACCTCATCAAGGAAGAAATACTTGCTAATAATGTGCTTTTTAATCCAGCCAAGGAGATAAAACAAAACCTCCTGGCTGGAGGCTGACTGTTCAGCATGCACATATGTACGGGGATGTCACCTACCCCAAGCTGAAGCCGGTGGAGGGAAGGATGGTCCCTCTTTCCTCATCCCCAGACAGAGACCAGTCTCCCTGCCCGAAATAGAAGCAGGAGCAGCACAGGGTTAAGCAGAGGACAAGCTGCCAGAGACCAAAGGTTAGGCTGAGTCACGCTCTGGCCGTTCCCGTTTCGGTCTGAGCAAGTTTCTCACTTCCCAGGCAGGGTTTGTCCCCAGGCCTGCAGGAACCTGTCGCCTTCATCCCCCTGCTGCACTCCCCGGCGGAGCTGCTCTTTGCTTGTCATTCGAACTCCACATGCCGTTTTGGGGCATCTCTGCAGCTTTCAGGAGATGGGAAGAGCCCAACACCATGGTTCTCCTCCATCTCATCCCCTCTGTCCTCCACCCTGCCCCAGCCATCAGCCCATCTTCAGGCTCTTCCTCAAGAAACAAAACGGCTTTCCCACCCCTCGCCATGCAGACATCTTTCTTCTCCTTGCCCACAGCTTTCCTGATCCAAAGGAAACCATCTAGCTGCCCCCAGGAGGCTGACAAAACACAGCTGATGTTTCCTCCCAAGTGCAAACATGACACATTTTCCTGCAGATCCAGACCTTAAATCACTTCTCAAAACAGGGCTCAAGCCCCCAGGCTGAGCCTTCATCAATGTGGATGCACCTGAATGTGGACAAGCAAAATGGCAGAACCATCCTCACGGGGTATCTGTATGGAGATGACAGAATGGTTTGGGTTGGAAGGGACCTTCAGAGATCATCTAGGTCCAAGCCCCTGCCACGGGCAGAGACATCTTTCACCAGACCAGGTTGCTCTAAGCCCTGTCCAACCTGACCTTGAACATTTCCAATAACGGGGCATACACAACTTCTCTGGGCAACCCCTTCCAGCGTCTTACCACCCCCATTGTAAAAAGTTTCTTTCTTATGTTCAATCCAAACCTACCCTCTTTTCAGTTTAAAACCGTTACCCCTTGTCCTGTCACTGCAGGCCCTGGTATAAAGTTTCTCTCCATCATTCTTATAAGCCCATTATAACCCAGGCAGGGTCTCAGCAGAGTGGAGTAGAGGGGAAGAGTCACCCCTTCGACCTGCTGGACACATTGCTTGTGATGCAGCCCAGGGTGTGACGGGCTTTCTGGGCTGCAACCGCACATCGCCAGCTCATGTCCAATTTGTCACCCACCAGCTTCCCAAAGCCCTCCTCTGCAGAGCTGCTCTCAACCCATTCACACCCCAGCCTGCAGCGACAGAGGGGATTGCCCCAACCCAGGCGCAGGACCTTGCACTTGGCCTTGTTGAACTTCAGGAGGTTTGCATGGGCCCGCTCCTCCAGCCTGTCAAGGTCCATGATGTTTGGTCCCTGTCTTCATAATCCCCACCTCGCTTTGGCATTTCTACCTGCAGAGGGTTTCTGTATCAGCAAAAGAAATAAATCTTTAATAGTAAAAACACAGGAAAAGCCATGCAGGGACCAATGGTCCAGCCAGCTCCTGTGCTGGCTTTGACAGCGGCCAGCAGCAGATGGCTATGAAGGAACATAACAGCCAAGCACATCGAGATATTTCCCAAACCACTTCCCAAGCTCTGGCCCTCCTCAGGCTTTTCCCAAGCCAAGAGACATTTCCCTGTACACCCCCCCCGATGGATTCCTCCTCCACAAACCCACCCAGGTTCCCCAGAGCACCATGGTACTTTCAGCACCCATGGCTTATTGCAGCAGCATTCACATCCATCATGCAGAAGAGCATCTGCTCCTCTTTCTGATTTTGTTCATTCTGGTTCCGCTGCCAGAAAGGACAAGGGAACAACACATTGTCTCTGCACCACTCCTTAATTTTACAGGCTTCAGTCAACCTGCCCCAGGAGTCTTCCTCTTGAGTGGAGGAAGCACTGACCTACTTAGCAGCTCTCCTCCCGGGGCCATCCCATGGCCCACCATCCCCACCACACTTCCCTCCGTATATGCTCTACCTTTTTGCAGATAAAAAAATCTCCCCAACATCTCCCTAGTCTCAGCAATTCTCCCAAATCCACCGAGTGCTCCCCACCCATCCCTTCAGCACCATGATCCCCAGACCAAAGCAGAAATCCTCCCAGGGAGCTGCCGGCTGCAAACACAACCACACACCCACCGAGACCCCCCCAGCCCCTCTCCCGTCATGGGTTGACAGCAACAGGGCTGAACCACCCCGAACACATACGCTCGTGATGCTCACCCCATGCACAGCAAGCGTCTGGCTTCAACGGGTGCAGACCAGCGACACCGCACGCAGCTAGTGCAGAGGAGCTTCTGCTCCAAGCACGAAGAACTCCACACACTCAAAGTCTTCCCCCATCTGCCTGCAGAAATCACATCAGCCACTGCAATTATTAAGAAACAAGCTAACTGAGCTGCCGCTCCAGTGGCTGTATCCAGAAACGGCTGGGCAGCCACCCAGAGCCCAATGCCGCTTGGACAGACAGACAGCCAGCCATTCATCCTGTCGGCCACGTGCCACTGGCAGGGCTTTTTGCACCCACAGTGACCTGGAAGAGCAGCTTCGCGAGCTCAGCATCACTGCTGCATGTTAGCAAAGCGACATGTAAAAAAAAAAAAAATCACCCACAGCAACCCGTCGGCCCGAGGCTGATCATCACCACAAGTGGGACAAAGCCCACATATGTACTAAGGGCAGACCAAGAAACAAGGTGGTAACTCCTGTCAACCCTGCACCTTGTGCTTTCCTGTGTACCCATGCAGATCCCACATTTACTAACATGTTAAGGTCTCCTTCTCTGCAAATGATGCAACCAGAGAGAAATTAACTCCTCTGGGAGCTGCAGGGAGCTTTGACATGCAAGGTGAAGCCACTGGGAAGCAGAGCACGGCAGCCAACAGACACTGCCCTGTCCTGCTGGGAGCTGGAGCAGGCACAGGACCGGGACATCACCTTCACCACCAGCGCCCAGGCTCCTCCAGCAGAGAGACAGGAGCTGGAGAGGCTTGGACCCACTTGGCACAGCCACAGCACCAAAGAGCCCAAATCCCTGAGGGTATGGCAGGATGGTACCCTGACGCACAGCGACTGCAGGCGATTTGCTGGTGCATGGTTCCCAGAAGCCAGGCATGGCTCAACCAGTGCCTTCCCATCGCAGCATCCAGACCCCAGCACATCACACTGCCAAACCATCTTCACACCAGAACCAGGAGGCCCCAGCCATACGTCAGGGCTGGCCCCTGTGGTATGAGACACACAGTCCCACTGTAAGCTCCCGCTCCCTCCTCACGCACAGCAGCACGGCCTGGCACAGAAGTGATCACCAGAGATGAGCAGCAACGCCACCTCCACCCGCACCCCAACACCTTTCTTACCTTTTCCGACTTCACCTTTTTCAGCTGCCGGCACTCACTTTCCCCATCCTCCAGCTCCGACTTAACTCCCAAGGGATTGAGCGCAGCTCCCGTGTCAATAGCTATACTCCCAAGCTGCTCGGTAGCAGCAGGCTCTGTCCCCTGGCCCCCATCATACTGTCCCACCCTCACCGCCAGGGCCAGGGGCTGCAGCACACTGGGCTCCTTCTCCGCCACAGCCCCCACACCCTCACTCCTTTCCTTCTTGCTCTTGGATGAGGCGCCCTCCTTCTCCTTCTTGGAGCCGGCCACACTACGAGATGTCTTGGCCGTTTTCTCCGAGCCCTTCGGGGTGACGGCAGGCACCAAGCCGCCCGAGTTTGCGCCATCCCCAGAGCGTCCTTGAGCCTCCTTCTTACCACCAGCTCCCTCGCTGGGAGTGAACAAGGAGGACCCCGGAGTCGGCTTGCCACTGTCCTTGCCACTCTTGCTCCTTTTCGACTTGGATTTGCCCTCCTTGCCCTGTGGGCCTGGCACTGGGCTCACAAACTTGATGTTATCTGGTAGGGTTGCCACCGCGTTGGGTGCCGGGAGCCCCACCTCTTTGGAGCCCGACATTTCCAATTTCTGCTGATCCTTCTCCAAATCAGCGTCCAGGTCAATGATGAGATTCCCTACGCCAATGTCCCACTCATCCCCGCTGTCGTATGTCTCAACCGGGTTCGCATCGATTCCTTTCCCTCCGGAAGCTCCGCTGCTCAAGGACATCTTAGACTTAACGGCCCCTCACGGTTCAAGGCTCTTCCCTGCCTCCACGCCCTGGGGGTCACCTACGTCCTCGGGGGGCTTCCAGCGGTTGGGGTCTGCCCAGGTGACGGCATCGCTGCTGGAAGGGAGAGCAAAGAGAACAGGGTTACACATGAAGAGCCCCGGGCAGGCAGATCTGCCTTTGCTGGCAGCCTCATGTGCAGGAGGAGTCCTGGGCAGGGTGAAAGCCCCCAACCTCCCAAATCCCCCATTGCAGGATGTGAGGCAGCATCCTCCTGCCACCCCTCCCTGGGCTGGGGGCCGGTCCTTGGCCATCCCTGCAGCAGCAGCCATCTGGCACTGATCCCTCGATCAATACCAGCCCTGGCAGGTCACGGCTCTCAGCTCCAACAAGACATTACTCACACGTTTCCCCACTCGCTATTTCCCTCTGAATTATCGAGTGCTGCCCTTGGGAGGGAGGATTGATTCCTCTCCTGCTGATGCCACCCGGGGGGAGGGCTCCTCTCCCCACCAGCCTCCCTTTGAGGGACGAGAGCCAGTCGCCAGGGAAGTCAAGTGCCTCGGTGGGAAATAAATCCCAAGCTTCAAAACACCCATGACACTTGGGACACGTCAGAGCAGTCGCCGAAGGCCAAATGGCAGTGGGAAGCACTGGGTTTCCATCCTGCACCTTCAGGCAGCACTGTGTTGTGTTTGAACCAGCTTTGAACCACCGTTATGTCCAGCATGACAAGCCATGTGACAGGCTCCGAAGGACAGGAAGCCAAGGAGCAGTTGCATGGGTACTGGGTCTTAACTGGGAAGAGAGGGACTGGATGTACCTGTCTGCACCATGGCCAAAATTTCTCCTCCCAGCTTCCCAGCCCCTCACCCTCCCTGCACTCAGATGCATCATATGCTGCCCTCAAACAACAAAAAGACACCCACACGAAACCTGAAAAGCGCCAGAGTTGCTCGCTGAGATTAGCTCGTGGCAATTACACTGATGAGACATCATTAACACATGAAACAGCTTCTTCCCAGCAGCCACCCGGCCAGCTACTTGGCCCCAGCCAACCGCTCTCCAGATCTCTTAAGAAATCCTTGGCCACCCATTTGGATGAAGCTCCTCTCCAGCAGCACTGTCCTCCCCTTCCCTGCCAAGCTCCGGGCCTGCCAGCTCCTGGTACTATTTATGAGCAACACTTCAAAAACAGGTGACTTAAAGAGAAATTAAAAAAAAAAAAAAACAAAAAACAAAAAACCCCACCCCACACATGCAGAAATTTCTTCAAACCCCAGCAGGCAAGAGCCTGGAAAGCAGCTTCATGGTGCGTTTCCAGAGATGCAAACACTGTAAAAATGCCAGGGATTCTTTCATCAGACAGGCTGCCGCAGCTAGACCATTTTCCATCTGCTCCCCACAGCATCCTCAGCTCTGTACAGCTAATAATCCGCTCTCTGACAGGTCATTACGGATATTTTTAACCCCAGGAGCCAGGGGCTAGCATGCAAGCTGGAAATGAAAAGCACTGACCTCTCATTTCAGCGGCAGAGAAAGTGCCGAATCAGGAGATCACTCTGTGCACCGGAGTCGCTAACAGCTTCCCAAAGCTGCACCGCGTGTTTCTCTTGCCTCCTCCTCTTCCTTCTCCTCCTGCCCCAGCACCCGCTCCCCAACACCGAGCCAGGGCGC